CCAATAAAACGGAAGCTAACGGAACGGCTTTGAATGGCAGCTCTTGGACCCAAAATTGAAAAGGAAGCAGCGATAAACTGGTGGGAAATTAAAAACGCGTATGCATTGGATATACAACCTAGCGGAATGAGATGTAGATATTATGGCCATCCTAGAGGCCATGTCGAATGCGCACTGCTGAGTCCTTGACTGATATTTAGCTGCTCTTTTTTAGGCTCTAGATTTTCTTTTACTGTGTGTAATTATGGTGACGTCAGGTCCAATGGCTTTACAAAATTTTCCTGTGTTGCCAGCAATTGTTTGACATTTTGTTGTAATTCGGCTGTAACAACAGTTCCAGTTTATTATTATTGCTGTTACTTCTTGCCGAAAGAAAACGGACCAGCTGTCATATACCCGCCGTCGTAAAAAATACATAAAAGGTGAACAGGTTAATTAGGTTATCATTTGGGTTCCTGCCTTCTTTTGGCATAAAAAATGGTCAAAGTCGAAACATCAAAACACCCAAAGTAATTGTTAATGGGTGCTGCTGCTCTCGGCATAATTTCTTTCTGCCGAGACGGCTCTGATTTGTGCCGCAATGCTTAGAAACCACATAATTTATTGCATTTGCTTGACCTGAAAATTTGAATCTGCTCCTGTTATTTTAAATGAATGCTATACTGATTGGCTCCATATTTCAAGAACATTTTTCATTCTTGATTTGGTAAAGCCAATAATTATGCACTGCAAATGTACGACTATGAATTTGTATTGGGCTTTAGTAAATAACCATTAATTTCCTTTTGAATATAAACAAACAAATGATAAATGCGTGCAATAATTTGATCATTAATCACAATTTAATAAAGGACTGGGGCTCCTAAAAGCTGCTTTGACTTGTGGGACTTGTCTACCCGACTCTGTGGGACTTTTCGCTTTAGCTGCTTCAAATAGACTGCGAACGGCAATATACTTTTAATTGTTTCAATACTTTTTTCACGCTTTAAGTGTCATCCGCCCACTGGCCGAGTATCTCCAAACTTTTCCTCCTGCCGTACTCTCAGAAATTGTCAAACGCAAATGTTTTTCGCAGTTTTACTTTGGGTTAACCGACGCCTTCACCGCCAGCGCCACGAAAACCGCCGCCAGAATTTGTTGTAATTGTTGTTTGCCATTTTTGTTGCAGTTGCTGTTGCTGTAGTTGGACTAAAATTTCCCACTCACAGAATTACCTTTTTGCGTTGCACCGCTGTCATGTGGTTGTTATTGCTGCTGCTGCTACGCTGTTGTTGTTGTTGATGATTTTTTTTTGTAGTTGTCGCCGCACTTAATTTATATGGCATTCACATTCGTTACACATGGGAAACGCTAGCGCGGCATCGTCTGAAAATTGTACAAATTTTTGGCACTCGCCTGCATGTGAAGTCGTCGCAAAACCAACACCAGCAACAACAACATGACAAAGGCAATTCCCGCTGCGGTTTGTTTTCCCACAACAACAGCAGCAGCAACAACAACAGCAACAGCTGCATAGACAATGGGTGAGCTTAATGCTAACAATGAAATTTGCTCCAATGCCAACAACATGGTAAAAAGGTAATTACCATAAAATTGTCCACGTGTGTGTTTCAACTACCACGACTAACTCCTTGCCGATTGGACGTCAGCAGCAGCTTTGCACATTTAATCCGTAATTTTAATATGGCGCTTAAATAATCGGATCGCATAATAAACGGCGAAATACCCATTTCGAATACCTCAAATCATTCGAAAGACTCCAGATCTTAAATAAACACCAACGTATTTACTTAGTTGATTTAGTTTCTAAAATCCCATAAATATAATTAAAAGTTGCAAAAGGAAATCATCGAACGAAGTTAGTTGAATATTTTTTTTGTATGCTTTTAATTTGGCCAGGGTATAAAAATTTAATGGAGAAGTGCAAAAAACTTTTATTTCGATGAAAAAAAAAAACAATCAGTAAAATAGCAAATTGCACACTTCCGTACACACACAGAACGACATGTAGCTCATATTCTCATGGTTACGTAGCTGCCTCTAGTTGATGATGCATGCCATCTCCTGCTCCGTCCTGTTGGCCATTCCATTTTTTAGACTAAAAACCGCAAATTGTTGAATTTAATTTTCGTTTTGGACGTATTCCAATTCCATCAACTCAAATAAAACAGCTACCCGTTCCAGCGACCAACCGACCGCCCGCCCGCCCGAACTTCCTCGAATCGCTTCGGTTGCCTTCCCGTTACTGTTGCGTATACGTTATATTCGTTAACTGCAATGAAAGCCAGACAAAACCAGGACTACGCCAACCATACATGATATGCAATTACACACTTACTGCCTCGGTAAGGGTGCTTCTCGTGTAGCTCTCCAGCTAGTCTCGCTTAATATAATGAGTGGATGACACATCGTTTTCGCTCTTTCATATTAACACATATGTTTAACTCACATATAAACGAGCTATAACTTATATGAATATGAATGAAAATTTGTCGTTGTAGGTGCGATTTGCCTCGAAGCGCAACCGAGCCAGCAGCACGTCTACATCAAGGTCTGAGGTAAGGTAAGTTCAAAATAGTTTTCTTTTTAATTTATGCACAGTTTAGTAGTAACACCTGGCTGCATTTTTGCAGAGCTACATTCTTTGTATTCTTTGTATAGCCTTTATGTGCTACCTGACATTATTTATGAGCACCGATCAATTCGATAATTCTTTTTCAACAGCGCGTTGAAATCCATCAAAGTTGCTTCCTTGTTTTTGCCTCTGATGGCTTTTCATGTAGGTATTCTGAGGGGGATGCTATTGTAAAAAGAATTTCGTCTGGCGCCGTTCGAATGCACAGCTGGGCAGTTCAGTTGCCCATTTTTTAGTCCTTCTGTTTCATCGTCGTTTTTTCAGCCAATCTTTTTCAATATGGCCACCATTTTTTCGTAGTTGTATCTATGTGTGTGTGTATATATGTATATATTGTCGACTTCGATGTGTCCCTATAATTTATTTTTGTGAAGCACCATGTGCGAATTATTGTAAGCTATTTGTTGAAAATGCAAGGTATTAAAAAGCTTCTACGTGTAAAAATGGCACCACATATTCATAGCATTCATAGCACACATTCCCAACCCATTCTAGTCTTCTTTAAAAAGCAGTATTAAGAAAGTCAAATAAGACAAACTTCATTTGTTACTTCTTCAATCATTAAGAAGAATATAAAATTGATTGATTAATACGCATAGAATTTCCATAACCATTGCCCGAGTTTAGACTTGACTGTCATACAAAAGTTTCACGGCGAGAAGAAAAAACATATTTTCACATATATTTGCCTAAAAAATAAGTAGTTGTCATATCTCAACAAAAATCTTTAAGAATTTTTTATCTATTCAAATAAAATTTATTATTTAGAGATGAGAATTGGTAATGAGAGATTTATACAAATTAAAGAGCTACCATATACTATTGCAACTTGTAACAGATCCGTTAAGGATTGAGGAAACAGAAATGAAATAAATAAATAAATACATGAAACTAAGTTGAATCGTTGCACTCGTTGACTTCGCCTGTGGTATGCAGGCAATTTGTTCCATGACATCAAATATGCAATAAATCTAACTGCTAAATCAACAATAAGAAATTTTGCATGAAGCAACTGCGTATAAAACAATCTGCAATTTCGAAATTGAAATTGCAGCAGAGCTCAGCCGGTGTATTTGTGTGCGTATGCGAGTCTAGCATAGAGTGGCCCTAATCTGATTTACCATAAAGTAGAAAGTGCATCTTTTTTTTTTTATTTATTTTTTTTTATTTTGGACACAAACAGCACGGCACGACTCTGGGCGTTGTCAGCTGACACACCGTCAAACAGACAAACAGGCAGCGCTGTATTTATTTATATTTCTATATTGATGCAATTGTTTTCGGGCGATATGCTCATATGTTACAATTTGCTACTGTTATTGTTATTGCTGCTGTTTGCTGTTCATGAATAAAACATGCTCTGTTATAATAGCTATGACCAGTTTATTTATCTTCGTTTTACCAAGTAAACGTCAATTTAGATTTTATGTAAATTTCCACTCAATTTTCTTGTTTTTGTTAGCCATCTTTCAGTACTATAAAATGCAATTTTTGTACTATATTAATATGTTATTAATAAGATGTAGTCGTGTTATTGAAATGTAATCATATCAATGGGTGTTTTCTGCAAGACGATATAATTACCGCCCCCAATTCCCATCTGCAACTGGGGTCACCTGTGAAGCATGTGTATGGTGCAAGCCAAGAAAAGCAGTTGGAGTGCTTGCTGTTGAAGATATTTGTTGTTGTTGCAGCTGCCAATGTCAGGCGGCAATCGACAGCAATTGCATTTGGCAATCGGTAGTCCATCAAGATTAACGCAAGGTGCTTGCAAATGCAGTCAGGCTTATACGTAAAACGAAACGAAACCCGGACCGATCCCGGACCAAATCCAAACAAAGTGGACGGCAAGCTGTGACTTGTCTGTTGCATGTCTGCCACTTTGCCTGTCTGTCTCTCCCGGATTGCCTAGGTGAATACGCATTCACGTGGCCGAGTGCAAACAATGCAAAAAGTCCCAATTGGCGCAGGTAAGGCGAGGGGCTCGGCAGGTGATAGGCGAAAGCTTCATGTGCAATTATAGGAAGACCCTCCGGTGTGGAGCTGCCTCTCGGAATGACTGCCTTCTCTGCGGCTGTTCTTGTTTGTCTTAGGTGTTGCCGGCGATTAACAGTTTAGCTTGGCTTTGTTTGTCTTAAGTGGGTTGCACTAATAAGCTGAGTGTGCAACTTGAAAAGCAGGCAACGTCAAACATTGAATAGCACACACTGTTTCCTATTCCTGTTACTCGCATTTAAGCGACTGGACTAGGTACCGAAGAGACACATGTGTTACTTTTAAAAAATCGCTAGACTGTCTAACATACATATAAACACACAGCAAACATATAAATTGAAGATTGTCATTGGCAACGAAACACTGTTGATTAAATCAAACCTCATTAACCTTACTGTATTTGGCCTTTGATGATACAATAATTACAAGCTTTTCAACGAAATCAGTTCAACGTGTAAATATATGTGTTCATGCCGCAGACATTCTCCTATTTACAGCTGACAGAACTTTAATGAAATGCTTATGCGATTCTTTTGACAGACCTTCCAAAAGCTATCTACCGCAGGCACAGAGATATAGGTCAAAATAAGTCAGTTATAATTGTTGAAATTAATGAGCTTACGCTTGCATACTTTTGGCATAATTGGCTTTGATTTTAGGCAGACCTGAGCGCAGACGTTGTTTTTCAGCAGATGATTTATGAGGGACCCAAGTGGTTCATTTACACTCAAATCACTTAGAAATCGAATTTGGGAATAATCCGTCATTTAATGTTTCAGGAAATTCCTATCGTCTTACCTGTAATGAATAAAAAACATAAGTTAGTCCATTTACAAAAATTAAGCAATACAAAATATATGAACAACTTATAGCTTATTGCACATTGTCCAGAAACTGAGCTGCACAAACGATTTTTAAACGAATATATTAAAGAGATTTTATAAGGGTTCTTAGGAAAGTATGTTAACGGAACGTGGGTGACCACTAACTTTAAAGGCATCGGAACTACTTAGAAAGCCAGACATTATTCCTTATCTAATCTGCTAAATTATAAAAATAATTCATAAAACTGTCTGCCATTGAAATTACAGATCTGAAATATTACTGGACTGTGGCCCAAGCACCACCAAAGCCAGCAGTACCTCCGGCGGAAACATTTCGTTGGCTGCCTTGTGTCAGTTCGTAATAAAATAACCACCGTGTCTAATGCTAATTTACTGTGCTTATATGGGCGTTAGGCCGCTTTTTCTCGCTCTCTCTCACACACTCCCTCTCTCTCTCTCTCTCTTCCTATTTTTCTCTATCTCTATAGCTCCCCCTGTGTCGCTCTTTCCATGCCTAGGTCTCCTTCGGTCCGGGAGCCCTTTTACTTTAATGGCCCTCCCTGTACCACCTGCCAGCCAGAAATAAATAGGAAAATTTATACGGTGCACATTAAAGGTCTGCCTGGAGCGTTGCCTTGGTAGCCTCAGAAACTTAATTTGCTTCCAAATGAGTTACAAATTTGCAATGTTCGCCGTATTTTTTCTTTTCGGTGCGTAAAATATACAGTAATTTGCTTCATGCTTATTCTTTGTTGTTTCCCAGAGTGACTACGTGAGTGGCGTTTAAATGGTGTACTGCACTGGCCAGTTATGTCTCGCCGAAGTTATGATTGTGGAAAGTGTAGACGCATCCTTATAAACTCTTGTCTTTGATCACTTTTACATTCATTTGGATCAATTATTTTTGTTTTCAAGTTATTGAGCTCAAGTGGAAAGGGTATCCCCCAGAGATATCTGTTAAGTTGTAACCAAATTATAAAAATGAGAACTTTAACATTAAAAGAACATTTTTGGCGATATTAACGCTAAGAAAAAAGCCGAGCGATGCATATTCAATTAGCAGCCATCCAAGAAGAAATAAATCTGTGAATTACGACAGCATCACAAATGGGTGCCAATCAACATAACTTTCTGCTCTTGAAGTTCCTTTTATGCATCTCGAAGACGCTGGCACGTACTAAGAACCATTTCCGCACTCTATTTCCAACTTCCAGGCTGACACGGACAATGACAATTAATCAAGCGATAACAAGATGTAAATGCAATGCATTGAATATTTTCCAAACCTTTACCCTGCATATTTTTTTGCAAGAAAATGGGGGAGTTATGGTCGCGGCAAAGCCCTTCTGGCGCATTGCAGTTTATTTGAAAATTAAATTTACGCCAAATTTGCGCAGACAGCTGGCTGCGTTTTCTTCTTCAACTCCCCCGGAACTTTTCAGTTGAAGCAACTTCATGAATTGGATTACAGTGCGGGTTCTTGCTACGTTTACCAAGTCTCAAGCCATGTTTTGCCCGCTGGCAAGCGACGTTGCATAGTTTTTTAAGTAGCTGCGTAAATTTTGGGTCGCTCAGATTTGTGGGTGGGCCCGAAAATTTCAACAAAAATATCCTCCAGTAGCAGAAGCAAAAATTTAAGGCAACAGCCGTTACGGAGAGTTTCATAGACTAATGGGAGGCACACCCCGTCCATCCTTGCCTTCGTGTAGCGAACAAAACGGTTTAAGTGCTTTTGAAATCCTGACGCTGATGCTGATGATGACGAAGACGATAATAATGATGCATGCGCCATCTTATTATCTATGCTTTATAAATTTGTTTTCGCAAAGTACTTATATTAAGTTTGATTATGTGGAGGTAGTAACTTCTGGCCAGGATTAGCCACGCGGTTAGGCCAAAAAATTAATAAATAATCTTAATAGAGGAGCCAGCTTTCTTTACAATGGGTTGAGTAAAAACCAATCACCAACGGCACTATTTTTTAGCTGGTAATTGAACTTATTATGAAGCAGTCATCCCTCAAAGATCCAGCTGAATATGTTCTTGTGTATTAACAATAATTTACTATGGATTTAAATTCGATTTGAAGCAGCCTCTCACAGCCAAACAGCTTAATATTAAAAGACATATACTTTCATACATACACGTACATATGCGTGTCCCCAACACATATTATGTGTATAGATTATTGTAGACATATAAATATATGCATAAATATGCATGGGAATATTAAGTTTTATAACCGCTATTAAGCTTTGTATCGCATATTTCGCAAGGCGTGAAAAGCCGACGCGCTTGAAAATATTTAAGAATTGGCCAAAAACAATTTGGCAAAAGCCGCTTAAAAGCCGCAGGGCTGTAGTCACAAGGCACACCAAAAATACAGCATACGTAATAGGACGGTATACACACATGTGCGCCAAAAAATGCCTTCTTTTGTTTTATTTTCCGCAAAGCCTATTAGACGCTTACAGTCACTCACATACGCACACACAGACCCTCCCGCTTATACACACAGACAGCCTAAAAACATGGCGCCATATTAAATTTTGCTTCTCCGTCAGAAGCATTTCTCTTCTTCATCTACAGTGGGACGCCATTTGACGCACATAAATATGCAGCAAAACAAAACAAGAGAAAACTTTCAGATCATGTGTTAAATTCAGTTGTGAAACGCCACTCGCTCGATAATAAGCAAGAGTCGAATGCGAAAACAAATCATTATAACATACAAATGCCACTTTAAACCTGAAGTTATCAGGATACAAGCATCCCGCGAAGGATGGGTTGTTGTCAGGACAAATAAGTACATCTAAATTTATGTTGTGAGCGGGCTTATCGCAACAGACTTCTGACAGCTTTTTGGTAGACAGCCTCTCACACAATTGCGACCTTTATCATAGGCAATCACTGAGACGATATCTGCGAAGCATTGATTTATTTATGCCTGATTTTGTCCGTTACCAACGGGCATCCCGACCATAATAAATTGCGTACAGACCAACTTAAATCTTTGTCATTAAAAAACATGAATTTGTTTTACTTGGATAAACAGGTTGATTTTGATTTATTGACCTGACAGCCTAGGATAAGCAAACTTCTACATCATTTATGTCAATTCTCTTATTTTCGATTATTGTCAAAATAAAATTGTGCCTTACGGACAAGCAGCTTCCAAAATTTTTAATTGGCTATAATTTATGACTATATATATTTCTTAGCGAATATCAAAACCAAGTTCTGCAAGCTTGGCAAAAAAATCTTAAGAAAAACTGTTAATTGGCTGCTAAAAATAATACCAAAAGTAACGATTCCCTGAAGATAGCTTTTAGTTCTTTTTTAGAATCAGCACGAAATGAATCGTCGTTTGAATTATATTGTAATATATAATATTAAATATTACTGTATCTGCAAGTCACCAATTGAGCAAAAGAAAACCATATTCGCCGCGCCATGCATGGCGAGTCCGCGTTAACAATGCCTGATATTCAAGAGTGAACAAAAACACCCTGACCATGCGAAGGTACAATGAAAATCGATTTTAAGGGACTTCAGTACGGACAATAACCAGCAGCAACAACATCATCAACGACAATTGTCAGGCTACAAAGTTGTGTGCAAAACGAGCAGGTTGAAGCAGCAAAAAAATAAAAATAAAAATAAACGGATAATAGAAAACAGGACAGCAAAGAAGACTGAAACAGAAAACAGTCAGACACAGAAACAGAAAGCTAACCCAAGTTAAAGTCAAGAGTGTCGAGTGGCCAAACAAATGGGCAAAAGTGTGGAAATATTTTCACAGCTTGTTATAAATACATAAAAATATGTCTCCCCGCGCTTGTTGTCGCAAAATGTTCGACAAAGTAGACAGCCCACTCATAAACTTTGCTTGAAAACAACATATTCAACAACTATTTTTATTCGTGTTCTGCACTTTTCCAAACTAGACAATAAATATTACCAAGTTTTTGTATACTATCAATACCAGGAATTCCTTTCCACATCCTACTCCTTGTTACTTTCTTGCTGAACTATATACAATAATTACGTAAAAAAGACAGCTTTACATATTTCTAACTGAATACAAATCAGCAAATCTGTAATATAGGCTATCGCAATAAATTCGATTCGATAAGTATCCACATATAAAACAAAAACAACAATACTCTTCTTAATCAGTATTGAGAGTTAAGTTAATCTAGCCTTATTTATTTGCCCGTCTGCAATACAATCCGTGTCTTCAAATGTTTTCACTAAAATTGAAAAAGTTTTGCACTGCGCTCGCTTAGTCATAATCCCACCAAAACTTTGGTCGACAGTGTTTAAAGTTTGCCCAACTTATAACGGAAGTTGGGGTCAAGATTGGCTGCATAGCATCTCATCTGGCGCATTTAAGCTACGGAACTATCCTAAGGCATTTAAGTGGCCGAGCCAATCTGATTAAGGTCACGCTAATTGTTTGCTCTGTGACTGACAAATGCGAGGGCCTACTGCAAAACGTTGTTTCGCAGAGATCTTCTCTTTGGCTTCCATTTCTCTCAGCATTTCTTGTTTACTGTGTGCCGGCGCATGCAGAGCAAGATGAATGAGTTTTGGTTGAATGGATGATGGCGTAGCGCTGCAAAAAGCGCATCGTAAAAGCTACAGCACCCCAACCCTCATTGGCAAATAAAAGAGCATCCCTTGTGAGAGATGTGCTTTCTCTCTGTGTGTGTGTATGCCGCCTTTTCTAATGTACATAAATTCCAACATTTGCTCATTTTAATGGGCATATTTTTGTCATTTTACAAAAGTTTTCGCAAATGCAAAGAGGAAACGTAGCATTCAGATTCACAGTTAGTATGTGACTGTGAGTATGTGCGTGTGTGTCGGTGTATATGTGTGTGTTTATACTGTGTGAATGTGCAGCATACTTAAAAATTTTTTAGAGCGCAGGGATTTGCCATAAGCGCAAACATGCAGCAGCTCACGGCTGCCGCTACATTTGAATCCTGCACGTGGACCAAAGAAGTGAAGACAGGGAGGTGAGCCACACAATAAGGGTTGACTTGTGGCTGGATGTGAGAGTGTTCGTGTGTGTGTGCCACAGAAAGCGCTGCAAAACCTCTTTAAGGCATGCGACTCTTCCATACACACACATACGTATGTATACATGCATATATATATATATATATATATATATATATATATATATATATCTGTATATATATAGACAAGCAGACCTCAGACAGACAAACAGACTGAGAGGCTGAGTCAGACAGATAGGACAGAAGAACAGACTGGGCTGGCAGTTGGTCCATACAGTTTTCCACGGCTTTGTCTGCTGCGCTGTATGTGGCTAGGGTGCGGCTGCGGATGCCTTTATATCAAAATGTGGTTTTTATTTCAGTGCATTTTGCATTTAACAGGATTCGTCGACGGCCTTTAATGACGCTAGATTAAAAATTCCACAACGACATTATGATTGAAGCATCGCTGCTATGTTAAGTGTTCAAATATTATATATAAGTTTAGAGGGAGACTTTCAACTCATAACGGAACAATCAATACTTGACTAAATACATATATTAGCGTTAACCTACACACAAATGCCTAGCATTTGCGAGCTGAAACCTTTTCAAACTGTCGTATTTCATTCTTACATTCGCTAATAGCTGCAGACACTAGGCGTATACTTAATAAGGTGGCTGCACATTTTTAATATCCTGCGGCAGCAAACAATGTGCAGATCAGAGCAGCGACTGCAGCAAAACTGTTGGGTGCAATGAACGCACAATCAAGCACAGGGCTGGGAGGGGTGCGTAGGCTTGCACAGGGTGGTAATGAAGCCAGCACAAAAAAAAACAGAGACAGCGACTGTAACGTCGCGGATCATAGCTGCATGAAGTTTATTTGAAAAGTTGAAACCGCTGCCAGTTGGAAGCTTGTCGACTGATGATTTTATTGTTGGTATTGTTGTTGTTTTTGTTATAGCTGTGTTAATATTGTTGTTTCTCTTGCAGTTGATGTAGCTGTTGGAACTCTGTTGTTGTTGCTTTTCGATTGCCATTGTAGGTAGGCGTAATCATGGTAAAGGCATTACACAATTTTCCTTTCTGATTGTTGCTTTCTGTTGTAACGTGCAAAAAAGGGGAAGTAGCTATTAATGTGTGCTTATGCGGCTGGTACTGTTAAACAAAATTTACAGCTTTAAAAATTTGCAAGTCAGACAGACAGTTGTCTTGATTTGAAGTCTATATTTCGAGATAGAGCAAATTGTATTGGGTCTAGAACGCATACTTGCTAAATGTAAATTTACATTATTTTGAGGCATAGAGAATTGAAGTACAATTTCATTCTACTTTGCAGATTTTCATTTTCTAGCATCTAGGGTATTCTGAGTATTCACTTCAGTATTAAAGAGGGTCAACGAGTAACACCATTAGCAATTGTGTGTCTGCAGTTGCAATATAATACGTCGGGTCGCAATTAAAAAGCACGTACAATAAGACTAACCGTCATTTGGCAAATATGCAAATAGTTTTTCTATACATTCACAATATGCACATAAAAGTTTGGAAAATGACAAACATCTCAAGTAATAGCTGTATTGATGAATTGTAATATAGGAATGTTTGGAGTTCATTAAACTTCTGAACTAATATGGCTGCTCATAGGACGCCCACGCAAAATGAGATATAAAGATATAACAAGAAAGAGACAGAGGGAAACAGTAGAATAAAGAATGAGGCAGAGAGAGAGAGAGAGAGAGAGAGAGAGAGAGTAAGAGAAATAGAGATATGCGCTGCCACTCACGAATACACATTCATTCCACTTGGCACTTGACTTTGGCTTCGGGACGCACTTAAGCATTCTAGACATGATTTCTAGCTCGCGGCGAATTGTTGTTGACTGTCTGACGAGAGGCAGCGCCAGTGGCCGTATTGAGGTATTCGCCTCGGTCCAGGCACGTATTTAAGCTGCCATATCGGCAGCACAACTTCCCTCCTACGCACAGTTCAAAAGACCTTTAAGCAGGGAACATTTAAATTAAACAGGGGCCAATTCAACAATCCAACCAACCGGCCGACCGACCGCCCGACCAACACAATGACTGCGTTCTGTGTCTATATCAAGATATGCGTTTTGTATACATAAATACGCATATAGCTACGACTGCATCAGCATTTGTATCGTTTCATTTTATTTCTTTATGATTGTCTGCCACTCTCCACGAGTTCTGCAATGTAGGCCTTTGGAATTTTAAATTGGACACCCCAAACTATGCTGAAAATAATTGAAGACTAGCTTTAGCCAGTTTAAAGGACGTTCTTTAAATAGGCATCGAGATATTTATAAGCTCTATTCATAATAAAATAGAAAAATAAACTCAAAGCCTACAATGATCACTGTTAATCGAAACGTAAAGGTATGAGCCTAAATATTTATAATTAAATATTTACTGTGAGACGCTTTAATTATCTGCTGAATTAGGCTTTAATACAAATGAGCGGTTATGAAATGAAACAATTTTATTTATTATTTATTTACATATCCGGTCGCCTTGGCCATTATTCGAAATTGCACATATTATTAATGCGTCGTGTTTACAAATAGGATTACGAGCCAAACCGCCCAATTCCAATGCTATTACAATTTCCATTTGCCAATTGCGTTTTGAACTGCAATTGCAATTCCAATTATTAATTATGCAAAACGAAAGCTGCACAGGGGCAAGACAAAGCTTTAAAAACGTAACATCGAGACTAAAGTATATTTTTGCGAAATCGGAGCAATTGAAGAGGGCTCTTTATGAGAGGATTTCATAGATTTCAGGCTCATTGAGCCAACGAGTCAGATGCGAAATCAAAAAGCACTTAAGATGCCAAGCGAAGCATGGCAAGCCTCAAAAGACGAAAGGAGTCGGCATCCACCATCAACATCACCATCAGTCTGCTAGGAGTCGCATAAGCATCAGCAATACAAAACAGATACAAATATAGATAAAATAGGCGCCCTGATGCGGTGGTACTTAACGCTGCCGTGTTGATTGATGGCGTCAAAGCGTTTATGGCATGCAAGTAAAATGCATTCAATGCAATGCCAAGTGGCGGTTCCATTCAAGTGAACCGAAGTGTGTTCAATATAAAAAAGTGCGTTCGCTCCACCCATCGTCTATGATGAACGCCCAACATAACAAATATGTGCTTTCAAAATGTATTTGCATTGGGAGCCTTTTACTTTGGCACTCAGAGAGTTGAAATATTTGCGGCGCCGCGCAAACAAATGCAAAGTATGATGATGGATTGCGTTGCTCTGTGGCTTGCCGAGTAAGAGTAAAATCTCAAATTTAAAAAATAAATTTAAAGCCTCAAAATTGGAAAACACAACATCAAAACCTTACACATTTTACGACATAACACATATTGGACCTTACTCTCCACTGCATTGTGCATCGGCTCTTGAGACGGCATACAATAAATTGAAATAAATACTATGTTAAGTATGTTAAGTATGTACACATTCAAATAGAGACTCGTTGTATTATAAGTCCATTCGTAACTATAAAATCCTCATGTCGATGGAACGGCACCAACTTCAGATCAGAATGCGTTATAACTAGCCAAAGCGAAAGAGCGGATATCCTTCTTAACAAGCACCGAATCCGAAGATGACGTACTTGAGATGCTGCAACTTATTAACAGCACACGAGACAAGTGGACGGCAGTTGCTTATTCTCTTGTTGATGATGATGACAATAGCCCAGTACAATGCAATTACCATGAGTCCACGCAATCGTCCGACGCTGCCCAGCTGCACATTCTGATCTTTGCGTGAGGCCTTGAACTGACTGGCGGCATTCTTAAATTTACGAAAACTCATAGGTGGCCATAGTAAAGACGGAGACTCAGACTGATACTGAGACTGAGACCTACACTGAGACTGAGGCTGACACAGAGAAAATACAACGAGAGGCCTGCAAATATTTTGCAATTATCATTGCAATTTGAGTTTCACACGCAGGCACTGAAACGGAAATTTTAATTTCCCTTGGCTTGCGTGCTTCTGCAGACCCGCATGAAATTGGGAATGGTAAATGTTTGAGTGCAGATAATAATAATGACGATCTCAATGGTACTTAAATGATTTTCCTTGCAAATGTGAAGCTTTTTATGCTGTTACAGCGGCTCCCGAGACATGTCAATGCACTTTAAATAGGTTTGTGGGCCATGCGTAGAAATGGAAGTGCAAGTGTCATTGGCAAAAAAAAAACAAAAACAAACAACACACATCTCCACCCTCATCTTAATCAAATCAACACGCTAAACAATGCGGCGTGAAAAATCTCACGGCCCGCATCAATTCTCATTTTCTGGGTCGCCATTGTCGCCAGGTACAACAAGCCGCCACAGAATGGGCGAATACACCGCCGTGCCGAGGGCGGGAGTATGCTGTGAGTTAGGCAAGATGTATGAAGTACCGCGTGTTGTCGAATGTCGGGGCGACATAAAAAATTTAGTAACTAATTTGTGTTGGGACAACCACGCTAACCACCACAAAAAAAAAAAGCAAAAAAAATACTCTGAGAGACTTTACGTAGTCGACAGTGTACGACTAGGTAAAGCCCTGTACCCTGTGTACTTGTATTTACTCTATGGCGTATATATGTATGTATGTACCGAGAGCTTTTAAATAGGAGCATAATACTAAAGATCTTAATAAATATATATATACATAAAATTAAATTAAAAAAAATACTAAAGAGTCCAGTAAATGAATAGTCTGATTATTGAATTTCTATTTATTATTAATCTTTTTTTTTCCCCTTTAATTATGCATTTTTAATGTACATATGCAGAGTATAAGGTATATTATAAGGTATATACATTATGAGTAGCGACATACACAGACTAGAGACAGCAAACATTGCAATGTACTTATTGCCGTGAGGACTGCTCATAGATATCATTCATCCGCTGGCACATTCACGCAACCGCGATGGGGTATACAACCACTCTTAACTAGCTAACTAGAGATATAGAAATAAGATATGCGCATACATATAGAGGGCACAGTTTCCTTTTCTAATTCGAGGCATGTTATGTACCCAAAACAAATTTACATTTAAATTAAATATTTTTATACCTATTTTAAATATTTGGTCATGCATAAAATTGACAAATTTGAACTTGCTGGGCAGCAGAACAGCACAGAACCTAAACCTGAAGCGTATCAAATATCAAAAGCTTGCATCCATATATCTACCGGAAAATGAAAACCAGGCTTATAGCAGAACAGACAGACGTAAATAACAAAAGCAAGAAAGTTCAAAATAAAAAGTTCAAAATGAATTTTCATCAAAATAGTCCACAAATTTTGCAGATGCCTTTTTCGTGAGGCTTCAGCACCGCAAAATGATTTATTTAAAATTTAAATGAAGAGCGGGACCTCAAAACAGGTCAAGGACAGAAAAACAAAATGAGCCACAAATACTATTATTTAAGGCTTCCCGCAAAAAGGACTCTGTATCCACATATAATGTCGATTGGGGATAAAAGAAAATCAATTTTCACAAAACTAAAGCATATACAATCTTTTTTTATGTTTGTTACTTATAACTGTACCGCCAATTAGTACGGCGTAAACGAGCAAGCAACTGGCCCTTAATTTCTTGAGTTTCCATCCTGTACTGAAGAATATATATGTATATACATTTATATTCACCCTTTATTACTAGTATTTCGGTTAGTGTCCGTATGCTCTTCCAAAAGGATACAAGAATTAAATAACAAAATCAACAGTAATGCAAAAGCTGGATTAAATCATACGACAACATAACTCTAAAGCAGACACTAACTATCATGAAAAAGAAGTTACTAAAAGTCGCAGTCGCTAATCTGCTTTCGTCGCGGTCGGTTGTGTCACGCATACACAAAATACGCGAATTTTCTACTTAAGCTAAAAATAGCCCTAACTGTAAAAGACCTAACGGTAAACATCGGACGCTGTCCCGTGCAGTGTCGGCTGCCCGAAACAACGAACAACAAGGGGTCTGCGACAAACCAAATATACTCGTTGCCCACCAGGGCCACACTTATTACCCCTCTACGTGCGCGTCACTGCACACGAGGGGAAATAAACGCCGTGCTCAGCTGATATTCTGCTTCGAAAATATAACAAAGTTAACAAATACGAATTAAAATGGACAAAAACCTTTCTGCTAACTCTCAGCTTAGAAATAAGCCGATTGATTATGCAAGAATGTGCCAAATAGCTGGGAAAACACCTTTTGAGCTGAGGGCTGAATTCAATAACCAACGCCTATCATGCACTGATTCTCAGAATCTCAGCACCATGACAACAACAATCACATTTACTAGTGCTACTTGTAGCACAGTATATACCACCGCAACTGCTGCAATTAACAGCGCGATCCCTAGCGGAAGAATGGATAGTCAGGCAGCCGGCTTCCCACCTGACTCTGTAAAACTCACTGGAGCTGCTACAAAACTGGCAGCAGCCCAGAAAATGCTTAAAACTAAAAGGAAGATACCTCTATCTCCCAATAACAATAACAAAAGAGCAAACAGAGTTGAGGTCTCACACTCCGCTTCAACTAATATGGCAAAATCCAGTAACAGCTTTGCTTTACTGGACATGGATATGGACGCAACCAGTGAAGGCGAGGATGATGTGAATCCCACTGCTTCTATTGTTGATCATAGCAACACTGCTGATGCAATTGATACAGTCAACAGCCATCAGAATAAAGAACCCAGCAACAACCAACAGACTCTCGGGTCATCTAAGCCACCGCAAATCGTTGTGAGTATCACTGATCTTAATGATCTATTTGAAATCATTAGTGAAGTCACCAGTATTGATAACGTATCAGTCAAGATCAACCAAGGAGTGACGGCTAGAATATTTCCCAAAGATAGCGACACTTACAGAGCTATCGTAAGCCATTTTGATGCGATAGGTATTGAGTTCCATACGTATCAGATGAAGGAAGAAAAACCTTACAGAATTGTAGTAAGAGGGCTACACCATAGTACCTTGAACAATGAAATAATTGCCAATTTTAAAAAATATGGCTTCGATGCTCTGCAAATTCACAACCCAAGGTCACGGTCAAACAGGGATGCAAAATTAAATATATTTTTTGTAAACATAAAACCTTGTAAAAACATTAACGAAGTTTACAATATAAAAACACTTTGCCGCCAAATGGTGAGAGTTGAAAGAATGCGTAAAACTTCTGAAATCGTCATATGTACCCGATGCCAAGAATATGGCCATACAGCCAAATACTGCCGTCGCCATCCTAACTGTGCACGCTGTGGCGAGGACCATCCCACCAATCTTTGCGCACGTTCACAAGATGCACCGCCTACCTGCCTTCACTGTGGAGGTAACCACATGGCAAGCTACAAAGGCTGCCCGTGGTACCAGGAGTTCTATCGACGTTCACTGGGCTCCTCTACGATCAAGAAGAATCAAGCAAGACCACAACAGCCACAACGGAAGCACCAGCATCAACCAACGCGTCCACAACCACAACCACAGCAGCTATCAAATACTTCTGGAGTTGGAGCAGGTGGAATATCCTATGCCGCGGTAGCAAGAAATGGAAGCGCATCTGCTCAAAGCCGCATACATAATATTCAAGCGCAAGCCCAGTTAGCTAAACCTATAGGACATATCTCACAGCAGCAGCATCAAGTTGATGTCCAATCTTTACTGGAACAACAACAACAACAATTTTTGAAATGGCAAAAAGACTTGCAAGTGCAGCAACAGCAGCAATTTCTTTCATGGCTTCAAGCACAACAACGCGAACAGCAACAACAAAACAAGAGAAACAGTGAACGACTAGAACGTCTAGAAAAAATGGTCCACGAAATGGCCAGCATGCTCAAGCAATGGACTGGGGATTCATCGACTCACCAGCTTCTTAACAACGCCTCAGCCTCACAATGAACTCACTCAAGATTCTCATCTGGAATGTCAATGGCATTGCAGGAAAAGCCAGAGATGTGGAGCTATTCGCGCACAACAACAACATCGACATTCTACTATTAAATGAAATCAGACTGAATCGAGGAGATACAGTCAAAATATATGGCTACACCTTCTATCCAGCTTACAAGCCATCAAGCCACAACCATGGTATGGGAGGAGCGGCTATATTCGTTAGAAGTTCACTGCGCCACTTCCCACAAAGGGTTATTGAAACTCAAAATATACAAATGTCTGCAATCAAAGTTGCCACTGGATTGGGAGACATCGAATTTTGCGCCATATACTGCCCACCAAGGAACAGAATAGAAGAAAGACAATTCAGCGACATACTCGCTTCTTGCGGCCAAAGGTATCTTATTGGTGGTGACTGGAATGCACGACACTGGCTGTGGGGAGATTCATACAATTCACCCAGGGGAAGAGAACTAGCAGAAGCCATCACGGCCAGAGGAGCTAATATTCTTGCAACAGGTTCTCCTACTAGGTACCCATATATATCCAGTCATACTCCCTCTTGCATTGATTTTGCATTATACCATGGGATACAGCATTATCAAGCAAATATTTACCAAAGCTGGGACTTAGACTCTGACCATTTAGCCCTTATTGCCGAGTTACACATCGATGGTCATTTTATCAGGCCAAGCCCAAGGCTAATAACCAGCCGTACTGACATCGAGGCTTTCAGACAACAGCTAGATGACTCCATTCAATTGAATTTGTGTCTGAACTCCGGCGAAGACATCGAGAATGCGGTTGATAATCTCTCGGAGAACATATATAGAGCTGCTGCTGCTACAACGCCGCTTAATCCTGCGCCTCGTCCCAATAATTATGGCATTGTTCTAACGAGAGAAGCCAAAGAACTCATCAGAACAAAAAGGCGCCTTCGTAGAAGAGCAATTCGATCCCAAGATCCTTGGGACCGCCTTTTGTGGAACCGGGTAGCAAGACAGCTACGTAACCTTTTAAGGGAACTCAGAAGCGATTTCTTCGAGCAAAAACTGGCTTCCATGGACTACACTATTGATGCAAACTATTCGTTATGGAAATGCACAAAATCACTCAAACGACAACCTTTTAGACAGGTACCTGTCCGATGCCCTAACGGCGAAGTTGCTAAATGCGAATTGGAACAGGCTAACGCATTCGGATGCCATCTAGAAGAACGTTTTACTCCATTTAGTTATGCTACGACGGAGCAGACCATGGAGATACAGCTATATTTGCAGACCCCCTTGCAGATGTCTCTGCCTATTGAGCCTATAAGGATTGAAGAAATTACCGAAGCGATCCAAATATTGCCGAAAAATAAAGCTCCCGGAATAGACAAGATTTGCAATGCAACGCTGAAGGCCTTACCTACAAGAGCGCTACTTTACATTGTACTAATCTTCAATGCCATCATCAGGCTCCAAGTGTTCCCAAGGCAATGGAAATTAGCTGCTATCTTGATGATCCACAAGCCTGGCAAGCCGGAAGAGGATCCAGAGTCATATCGGCCTATAAGTCTACTGCCCTCCTTGTCTAAACTATGGGAGAGGACCATTGCCAACCGCATTAACGCAATATTTAGACAATCCAATATCCTACCGGATCACCAATTTGGATTCCGGGAGGGACACAGCACAGTGGAACAGGTCCATAGACTGGTGAAACACATCTTGCAGGCTTTTGATGACTCTGAATACTCCAACGCTGTCTTTATCGACATGCAGCAAGCGTTTGATAAGGTGTGGCACGATGGATTACTGTACAAAATAAAAAACCTTCTACCTGCTCCGTACTATGGCCTCTTAAGATCTTATCTAGAAGACCGTGTGTTCCAAGTCAAGGTAAAAGATACACTCTCGTCCACATACCCTATGAGAGCAGGAGTGCCGCAGGGCAGTGTTCTTGGTCCGCTGCTGTTCTCCTTGTACACCTCTGATATACCTAGCCCGTCCTCTCAACATATGGATGCTCCCTCGAAAGCTGTCATTGCCACATATGCTGATGATATTGCCATCATCTATAACTCAAAAAACGTGGTTGAAGCAAGTACAGGACTACAGAGATATCTGAATACTCTCGCTGATTGGTGCAAGCGGTGGAATCTCAAAGTTAACCCGCTAAAAACTTTGAACCCTTGCTTCACTCTAAAAAGGCTGGCAATGCATACCCCCCCAATCGAGATGTCGGGAGTAACCCTACAGCAACCTGCTCAGGTGAAATATCTTGGCACCTCAAAGCTACGGTGAAAAAATTTCGTCACAGACTGCAACAATTAAGATGGCTCACCAATAGAAAGAGCACCTTACCGCTGAGATGCAAAAGAGCTGTCTATGTGCACTGCATCCTACCAATATGGCTCTATGGAGTGCAAATCTGGGGGATCGCTGCAAAATCGAATTATAAAAGAGTGCAGGTTTTGCAGAACAGAGTGTTAAGGCAGATAACAAACTGTCCCTGGTACATACGCGGCTCAACACTGCATAGAGACCTCAAGCTGTCTACTGTCGAAGAACAAATAAATAAACACACAAGCAGATACTCAGACAGACTTGTACGACATCAAAGCCTACTCGCAAGAGGTCTAACACCTGCCAGACCCCTAAGACGACTTAAACGGCAGGGCTTTGCCAAAACAATGGGTATTCAATAAATATTATTATTATTATTTTTCTTTTTTTTCTCAGTCCTCACAAATTGAGTGAGGTTTGGCTCTAATTTTATGTATATATATGTGTTGTTAAAGTACTATATGTGATTGTACAGTTTCTACACTTAATAAACCAAAATTAAAAAAAAAAAAAAACTAAAAGTCGCGTAAACTAGGTCGCAAGTAATATACCGTGCAACAGTGAAAGAGTAAAAAATATAAAAGCGCTGCATACTTCATGGCTCCTATCGCAACAAAATTCAATGAGCATACACGTTCCAGTCGAATGATATGTGTTGTCTGGAGTAATGCTGGACTGGAATGCGACCCTATTTCAACTCAAGTGCATAGTGTATTATCCACTATCGTATTTAGCGTTTAGCTAAACAAGGACACTTTAACAATGTTGACTCTAACAACAATGAAAGGATCCCAAGCTCCAAGTCAAAATGTTACCAAAAGTGCCGTCTTGATGACGCGACAAAAATAAAAAAACAAGTGGAAGGAGTTGAGTACAACTAATAGATATAGCCAGATGTGTTTGACATTATTACGATTAAGAGAAGTTCATTCATTTTCTCTCTTAATTAAAATTAAAGATGCCTTAACAGTCACTAGAAAACATTTAAGTAATTGTCTAATTTAAATGTAATCAGCCTGCTAAAAGGTCAATTAGTATTCCAACACAACAGACATTGACTGTGTTTAAAAAATGACTTAATTAAGGTAGAGTCACTTCAGGGGAAGAAACAAAACATAAACAGCTAATGAATACAAATAACTTATTATTATTAATATCAACAATATTTAAGTCGGCTTTTAAAGCCTTTGCATGTTGCACGTGTTTGTTGTAGTTTTCCTTTCTGGGGTCAGCACAACAAAGAATCAATATTTTAAGATCGAATCACACACTTTTCAGGCACTTAAACTGTGCTGCATGCAGCACAGGCGAAAAGAAATGTTGCAGATAGGGAAACTCCAGCACCCGAAGGAAGCATGGCGGAAACTGACGTGAGTTGACATTACATGCATTAGAAGCTATTAGAACAGTATGAAGAGATGCCGATACTGCTGCTCCTGACTACCTGCCTGACTGCTGCCTAACTGCCTCCTGGCTGCCTGCCTGGCTGCCGGCTCCCTATAGTATCTGTTATGCAGTATCAAACAGCAGCAGCATCCCAACGCTGATGGTTGCTGTAATCATCGGGGCATAGATAGCAAAGCGGTGAAAAGTGAACGGAAGAGCCAGAACCAACCCAGGCATCCAGCCACATGTGGAGAGGTTGTCAGACGAGTTGGAAAAAGTTGCCACGGCGCGCACTTTGCCGTGTCATTGAACGTTGTAATGGCTTTCGCTGGTTCTCTATGCTACAGTCTGCATCGACCCAAGGATGCTGGCCCATGTGTAGGGTAGCTATGTGAGTATGTGTGTGTGAGTGTGGATGGAATTTAAATAAATTAATACGCTGTATTAGACACATATTAGCACTAGGAGCACCAGAGAACCAGTTTCCAGGTTCGAAAAGTTGTTTCCTTAGTAAAAATCATCCAAAAGTAAAAGGTGAAAGTTCACGT